AAAGTCTGTTGATGCAAGGGTGTTAATATTTCGCAATTTTACTTGGTCTAGGACATATGACTACTCTTAGTGTCAAGTCCTTGCTACCAGTAATTTTAAATATAGGCAAACTTGAAAAATATAACTGTCTCTAATTGTCTACAATTTCCTATTTCAGAATACCATAATTATGTAATTTCTATAGTGCCATCAGTTTGTTTTGTCATGCGAGAATGGGAAGTTGATTTCCAGTTGGTTTTCCTGATTTGGGGCATTCTGATGAGCAATGAACATTTCCAGCGGCAAAATCAGACTGACAAAATTGAAAGATTTTAACACCGGAGTACGCAAGTTTCTATTGGTAATGCAGGAGCTCAACCCCTGTCTATTTGAGAACACTCAGTAGTCGATATTTTCTTTGGCCACCTAAAAAAACACACACTATACTAAGTTTCACTAGGATTGGTGCAATAGTCAAATTTAGGTTATTGAAGAATGGTCGTTGAATTACCTCACAGCGATAGCAAATTTGTGATGTCTGTACTGATGATAATGTTCCATTGTCTGTGTAAGATCCTAACACAGTTCTATCAGTTCTTGTGGTTTCAGTTGTATCTTTCTACAATGTAAAATATGTCGTTAATCAGTTACGGTGAACAAGCACACTAATTGTAGCTGTTTGCGGGAGTGTTTTGCTTCGTAACAGTCACACATTTTAGTTTGAGTATTTAAATGTGTTGACTTTATGTGTGCCAAGATTGGTGACGACCAACAGACCATCTTGAGTGATGGCCATTCCTAATGGACCGCTAATCCCATCAACTTCGCTAACAATCAAGCGAATAAATTCTCCTTCTGGTGAGAAAAGCTGTACACGATCAGCGCAATCAGCAACAATAATATTACCACGGTTATCAATACAAACACCAGTCGGACCAATGAACTGCCCACGGCCAGTTCCACATGATCCAATTGTGTGAATGTACTTGCCCGAAGTATCAAAGATTTTAACGCAGTGATTACAGTGATCAGATATGATAATGCGGTTGTCGTCCATGGCAACATAGCGAGGTTCATTAAACTTGCAGCTTTCATCACCACGAGATCCGAACTTATGAATCAGTTTGCCATCAAGATCATGAATGGTGACACGATGCCAACCAATATCAGTGACGACAATTCTACCTTTCTTGTTATCTACAGCGATGCCGTAAGGTTGTTTTAACGTACCATTATCTCCAAAGTGAAACATATAACGGCCGTACAATGTGAATTTCTGCACACGATGATTGTACTCATCTGTGATGTAAACACATGGCTCGTCTTCTTCACTTATCGCTACATCTAGTGGCAATTCAAACTGACCATTACGTTTACCACGAGAACCGAATTTGCATTCAAATTTCCCGTCTCTGTTATAGATTTGAATTCGATCATTATCTCTGTCTGTAATAACCACATACTCGCCGTCTTCAGTGGATGCTACACCACTCGGCCAATCAAACTCCCCACCTTCATGGGTACTATCATTCAGTTCGTACATCAATTTTGTCTTTCGCATCTCGGCCGCTTTTCTCTCTATTTGCTTCTTTTCAAGTTCTTGCTGCTCCTTCGTCATTTCTTGTATCGTCAGCTGGCTATCTGAAGTAGTTCCATTTTCACGATTTTCATATTTTATCTCCCCTAACGCATACGAAACTGGATCAGTCAATGCGTCATTGGGTATAAAATAAAGCTGACTCAGTCTCTCTAGGGTCAAGTCCTTCTGCGGAGATATTTTTGATATACCTTGCAATCTATCCACAACCTGGTCTTTGATTGACAGTATTTCCAAATCACTGCCATGCTCCAAAGCTTTCTCAGTAAAGTCAAATCCATCTGTAAGATTTTCTAGGCTTGACTTCAGGCTATCTTTATGAGCTGCCAGCTGCTTTAGTCTACTCATACATATTCTTTCTAACTTCACAACTAGCTCCTTTTCCTGTTTCTTAAGTGCTTCCACAACACTTTCTACAGTTTTCTGGATGATGTACTCTGTCTGTCCTTTATTTGCGATTAAATTAGCCTCCACTTCTTCCACGTCATCGACTGCATCTTGAAAAGATGAGACTTTCACCTTTACGTCTCTCATGAGATTCTCAATCAAATTTTTGTATTTGGTGACTTCATCTTTTAGGTATGTATGGGTGTGATCTTTGTGTTCAATCAGAATACAATCACGGCAAATTGGAACCTCGCACGTTTCGCAGAAGAATCGGAGTGTTTCTGTATCATGTTTGCTACACGGAGCTTCCGTTCTGACATTTTTACTGGCGGCGGTTTGGCCGTTGTCCGTCAATGATATCACACGATGGCGACGGGTGAATCTGGCGATGCGATGGTCGTGCGTTGATGCGCAGCCATCGCATAGGAAATCTACGCATTCTAAACATCGAGATGTGGCTTCTGCTGGACCGGAACCCGGGCATACCGTGCAGAACGCTTTCCGATTCTGATTATCTTCTTTCCGTGATGTGAACGCGTCCGATAAATTGAGAATGAAGAAATTATCCTTCAATCCGGCGACGCCATTTTCAGGGAGAAGCGTTTCGCATCGACACATTGGACAAGGGATGGTTTGACTTCCTTTCGGCACAACTCGCATCAGACACATCTCGCAAAATGAATGTAGGCATGGCAATACCTTGGGCTTCGTGAAAGCTTCAAAACAGATCTGGCAAAGCAGAAATTCTTCGCTAATTTGACTGTACACGGACAAGGAACGCCGACATAACTGCTACTGGATCGAGATCGGGAATACGGAAATGAGATGAATGAGGTCACATGACAGGATGATGATCTCATATGACGTCATAGTTTTAATATTATAATATTAAAATCTGATTAAAACTGCATCAACAACACACCATAATAATGTATCTAATATATGTACCGATATATGAATATTTAACAAAGAATTAATTATCTTTCTGAAATTTATAAATCGTTTTTACTGTGTTTACAATTGCACGATACGGAAGTTTATTGTCCGGATGACGTTCCATAATCCTTAATCCAGATCTACTTATACTTTGCCATAGTAGTAGGAATGTCGTCTTTGTTCCGAAATAATTATTGAAAATTCTTCAAGCAAAGGTAATATCAACGTTCCGCCAATGCACATTGCTCACTTGGGTTGGACCATTTTAGAGAGGGGGTACAGCATGTACTACACTATATTCGACCGTAGCGCTGCATCGTTATGCAAATGAAAATATTATT